AACAACTATGCCTCGCTTAAGATACGTCACGCACTCCGTTGCTCTTATTGGTTGTAGCTCTATCCAATTGAGTGCAGAGGCATTTTTTTCCTGGTTTGTTTAAAACACGCCCCATAATCACAGCTCTATGGAGCAGTATCAGACTCATATTCTGACTAGAATTGAGTCGGACTACGTCAGGCTAATATAATATATTTTCATGGGGAAAATCACTTTTCACTTGCTAAGTGCTTATATTTGCATATACTCCACCTGTAAATTTATGCTGTGCAGTTCAGTCATAATAGTGCTCCTTCAGTGACAGACTGCTATGACTTAAATGCACCAGGGCGCGTTATCGCAGATCCTTCCTCCCAGCAGCTGTAAGACTTATAACATCACTATTCCCAACAACCTCAATAAGTTGTTACATTCATGCTGATTTTGCACGGATTCTACCTCAAGGCTGCTGCAGTGTTAATGGCGCTGTTCTGCAGCGCAGTGTACTATAGCCTATTACTTGATGTGTTAACGGGTCGGGTTGCGGGTTAAATATCAACGGGTCAGGTCGGGTTCGGATTTGAATTGAAGATATCAGCGGGTGACGGGTCGGGTTCGGTAGTCTTCCTAACGGGTTCGGGCGCGTGCGGGTTGGTAAAACTCGACCCGTGCAGGACTCTAGCCTAGAAGGCTGCTGAACTGGCTGAGGAACAGATCCAAGCAGAGGAAGGAAGGCAGGGGTTTCCAGAAGACAAAGCCCAAGCTGGGGTTGGAGTCAAGGCCAGAAGATCAGAAATCCGAAGAGGTACGGAGGGCGCGTCCAAGTTGAAGTCAGGAGGCAGATTCAGGTTCAGTCCACAGCTAGAAACCAGCAGGAGTCTAAAGGCAGGCAAACAATTCCAAAACAGGAACAGGCAGGCTCAAAGGTCTTATGGCAGAACTGGTCAGGATCAGTCAATCAGAATAGCAGACTGGTACACTAGAGAACTCTCACTGAAGGTTCGAATAATCCGGCACTGATGACTGGGAGCAGGCAGGTTAAATAGAGACTAGGGCAGGTGACACAGATCAACAGTTATGAGAAACTGGGTCAGGCTAGGCAGGTGAATGGAATGAACCATTAAGCCAGTAATTTTTTAGAACAAGTCACTGCATATAATTACTTGGGCATCTGGTTGAAAACATCACTTTCCTTCTCCCTGCACATTTCAAATATAAAGTAAATGATCAGCTTGGGTTTCTCTACAGAAACCGCACTTCTTTCACCACTTCTGTGAAACTTGACTCTTATCTAAATTACTATTCTACCCATTTTAGACTATGGAGACACTATATATAGGGTTGCTTGCAAGCTCGATCAAACTTGACAGTCTTTACCATTCCGCCATCAGGTTTACCATAAATCCTCCTTCCAATACACACCACTGTGCTCTGTATTCATCTGTCAACTGGCCCTCCCTTCATCTGCATTTGTAGACCATCACCACCTTATTTAGGTGACCTGTTGCATCCAAAGCCTGTCACTTACAACACCCAGTCCTCACTTCATCTACCATTACTTATTCCCAAAACCAACACTACTTTTGATCTTGCTTTTTTTTTATCTTCTGCCGCTCATCACTGGAACACTCTGCAAAATATTCTTAAACTGGATAGACAAATTTCAATTTCATCCTTCAAAACATTATATCATCCATGTTCAAAGACACTCGCAGCTGCTTCTCTACATAGTCATTTGTTGTGTTTTAAATTGTATTTTATGTATCTATTACAAATGTATTTATTTTAGCTATTTTGTTTATAATTTATGTATGAATTTCTTATGGTTTGTATTTATTTTAGCCCTACTTCCCTTTTTCTACGATGTTACTCCACTTCTCAGTCGTCATTGTAAATAAGAACTTGTTCTTGAAGACTTGCCTGTAAAAATAAAAGGTATAAATCTGTGCCAAGATCACGACAAAACATTTTTGTAATCAACTTGATGTGATTGGATTGCATATAATTTAAGTGTAATTGGACCCATTTACCTTTCTTATAAAGTGTCATTAATTTGGTCTTTAATTTGATAGTTTTTTATGTTTCATTCATTCATCTTATGAAAATGATGGCTTTTAGAGGATCTATATTTAAACCCTGGACTCTGTTGAGATCTGTAAATTCATTTTTTATATACATAACAAAAACCCCAATCCTGCTTATTATAACTTTTAATTGCTTCTCCTATGGGTTCACCTTTATGGTGGAAAGTTATATAAAAAAATAATTTAATAATCCAAAAAATAATTTATTGAAAAAAATGTTTTTCCTGTTTGCAGGTGTGACCTATGTTCCTCAGGAGGTGGTGGCTCGACCGGGTGAAAATGTAACGGTTTATTGCGTGTTAAAGGACCGCAATGCCAGCAGTGCCAATTGGTCTTTCAATTATCAGAAGTGGCTTGATCCCAGTCTGTATCATCCTGTCAGCCAGCAGGTAAGAAAAGTTACAGTGCTTGATGGAGGAAAAAATAAAACAATATTGGGTATAAATTAAATACACAAACGTGAGTTTTAAATAAAAGTTGCTAGTTAAAACCCCTCAATTTACCCCCTACTCTCTTTGCATCTTTAGTGCCCCCTATGGATAACATATTTTAAATCACCTTAGGTCAGCAAGATCACATTCAGGGCTTCAGACACTGGGATGTATTACCTGCTGCGGTGCAGACATGATTGGAGTATTCCTTATACCAAGATCTTTGTGGAAGGTAAGTTTTAGTTACACTAATAAAATATAAACTGAATTATATTGTTATTTTATTTTATATAGATTTTGTCTGTTTCCATATCAATTGCTAATGATTGACAACTGAATAACTTAGACAACTTTTAATGTCATTTTGTATACAGAGAGTGTATACAGGCTGTTATCTCTGCACAAGCCCACCAGCTTCTTCAACTCCTCTCTGTAGTGTTGGTCATTGTTGTCTCTAATGAGGCCCATCACCATAGTGTCATCTGCAAACTTCACAATGTGATAGGTGGTGAACCTAGGGACGCAGTCGTGTCTCATTAGAGTGAATAGCAGGGACTCAGGACGCAGCCCTGAGAGGGAGCCTGTGCTTAGGTTGATGACATCAGAGTTTTTCTGTCCAACCCAGACTGACTGAGGTCTGTTTGTGTGGAAGACTAGCAGCCAATTGCAGAGGGGTATACTGAAGCCCAGCTGTTCCAGTTTTCCTTTTAGATGCTGTTGGTTGATAGTGTTGAAAGCTGAACTTAAGTCCAGGAACAGCATCCACACGTGGGTGTTCTTCTCCTCTTGGTGTTCCAGGCTCAGGTGGAGAGCAGAGGAGATGGCGTCCTCAGTGGAGCGGTTCCGTTGGTGGGCAAACTGGGACGAGTCGAATGTTGGGGGAAAGCTTGAGACGATGTGTTCTTTAACCACTCTTTAGAAGAACTCCATCATGATGGGAGTCAGAGCAACAGGCCGGCAGTCATTGAATGAGTTGACCTGAGGCTTCTTTGGGACCGGAATGATGGTGGCAGACTTACAGCATGCTGGAACTGTGGATTTGTCCAGCGAGGTGTTAAAAATGTCTATGAGGACACCAGCCAGCTGACTTGCACACTCCTTATACACTCGCCCAAGCTGCTCTGAATGCATCTTTAATGTTAGAGTACGCTAAATCAAGAGTGTTCTGGTATCCATCCATCCATCCATCCATCCATCCATCCATCCATCCATCCATCNTCCATCCATCCATCCATCCATCCATCCATCCATCCATCCATCCATCCATCCATCCATCCATCCATCCATCCATCCATCCATCCATCCAAGCAAGCAAGCTAGGGGTGCGAGGGGTTAAAAAATGAGGGATTACAGACTTCAAGGAAGCCTGATTAAAATCCCAAGCAAAGAGGAAAATGCCCTCTGTGTGTGCAGATTGAAGCTCAGAGATAGCCTGGTAGAGAATCTTCATGGCACTTTTGTATTATCCCTGGGGGGGACATAAACAACAGTGATGCTAACTACAATGAACTCTCTAGGCAGATAGAAGGGTCTGCAGTTAACAGTCAGAAACTTAATGTCTCAAGAGCAGGAGCTGTTGACCGATGTAGCATTTTTACATCAGTTGTTGTTGATGTTATCATAGAGCCCCCCTTCCTCTAGTCTTACCACAGAGTTTGCTGTTTCTATGGGCACGGTATAATGTTAGCCCCTCCAGTATAACAGCATTATCTGCTATTGATGAATAAAGCAATGACTCAGTCAGGATAAGGGCACAGCTGTTACTAGTCTATTTTTGAAAAAAGTTAGAGTCTAAGGTTATCTGATTCCTTCTCTCCCCGTGGCACGGCCTGGTCCTTTTGCCCGCTGCTTTGTTTTACATCCGTCCAAAGCACTCTGCAGTTTTTTCAATGGTTAAAAATGGATGTCTTTAAGCGTCCAGAAATGACATTGTGTGACCGAAGCTGCCGCAGGCACTGCAGTTGTAGATGCAAGATCAATGCCTAATTTGTAGCATTCTAAACAGCGTAGTTTGTGGTGTTATAATTAAACAACTTAAACCATTTTTTTTTACTTGATCCAAGTTGATTCCACTGTAGGTAAAATGGCGTGTAATATTTGGAAAAAGATCAGTTTTTCATCTGCATTTCTGTTTATTCTATCTTTGTTTTTTGGTGAAAAATTAGACTCTAACTTTATTTTGTATGTTGCTAGAAGGCAAATTTCTCCAGAAGCGTAAAAGGAAAGTTGTTGGCAGTAGGAAAACCAAAAAAGCTGTTATTGCAGCTAATATCTCCACGTAGTTATTTGTCCATAGATTTAACTGGTATTGTGTTGTTCCTTCCAGGAGGCAGCATCAACATAACATGTGTAACCAACGGCGACATCGACACTATGACGTGCAAATGGGATAATAATGAGAAGACCAAACTCAAATTCCAATCCAAGTACTGCTGCATTTCATAATACTGTGTTTAATTTTCAGTAGTGACATGTTTTTACAAGTTGCAGTGGTTTATAAAACTGTTTATAGGATGATAAAATAATGATAGGACCTCTGTTGACAAAACCCTTTAAATCTCAGGAGTCCAGAGGTGGTTCTTGTGTGCCACTGTCCTACAGGTTTTAGTTTCACCACAGCTGATTTCCGCAGATGGCTAATTAGCAGGCTTTAGCTCAACTGTAGTCATCTTGATTAAGTGCTTTAAAGCAGATAAACATAATACAGATTCAGAACAGTGGTCCTGGAGGACTGATTGTGTAAGTCTCTTGCTTTTAAGTTACTGAACACAACATTCTAGACACACCTTGGAAAATTTCCACTGCAGGGTTTCAAACTACATTCCTCTAAGGCTGATTTACTGCATGTGTGTCTCTGATTCACTTGAATCAAACTGCTGAATTACTTTCTCAACATATGTGTCTAAATGTGTCAGACATGGGCCCTCGAACTGGAATTTTACACATGCTATACATTACAGTTTTTAATTGATTGTTTTTAATCTAGGTTATCCTGACACAACTTTTCTGATACCCATATTGCAAGAAGAGAAGAAGAAATAAGAGGTGCCTAATATTGCTTTTGGCCCTGTTCAATATTAGCTTAAATCTTACATACTTTTAATGCTTATTTTTTACTGTAGAATGTTAGAAAAGGCTTGATCAGGTGATTAACAGAAAGCAGTATTCAACAACAATATTTATAGGAGTAACTGACCTACGTAATATTAACCAATGGGTTACAGAATTTTAAAACAGAAGCAGCGTTTCTATCAGCATGCTGATATCCAGAAAAAATGGCACATATGATGAATCCTCAACAGGTGGAAGATATTTCCACTACTACAGATCTTATGGAAAACAGATCACACAAATGAAAGAGTTTATAGACCCTTAGGTCTACAATCTTCTGTCCTTATTCATGTAATAACAGTCCTTTCTGAATAAACCAACCTCACACCCTAAACCCCTTTTGATGAAAAATTAAATCAAGATCATATTCCATCTTACTGTTCTTGTATTGGTAAACCTTTTTTTTTCAAATTAAAACAGACTGAGGTGTGTGAAATGAAGCTGAATGCCATTTATCTAACTATTTTTTTTTATTTCTGGGGTAGGAGTGCTGACATGTCATGTGAGGACATGAAGAAAATAGAGAGAGGCAGTAAGAATGTAGGAGAGACGGGACCTGAATGCACACCAAACTTGTCTTCTCAGAAAACCTGCTCTATACATCCATTGAAGACTAATAACTGCTACAAACTGTGGCTTGAATTACCATCCCCCCTCATCAGATCCAAGCCTGTCTACGTTTTCCCCCTAAATTATGGTGAGCAAGAAGTATTTAGCATTATATTTTTAAGCTATACTTAGTATCATTAAGTCATGATCTTATAGTCTTGCGCATGAATTTATTTATTTTAGATATATTTTTTTCAAATGGATTTTGCTGCTAGTCTAGTACCGTCAGCATATGTGGGACCATAAAACACTTCAAGGTATTTGGGCCGTTTGCTTTGGACAATAACATGTCATGAGGCTTAATAAAACATACTAACTCAACATTTGTAGTTATTAGTGTATTTATTTCAAATACATAAAGTTTATTGTTTGAATTTTATAATAATCAGACTCTTTTGTTATGTGATAATAATGCATCAATCTCAAAATTTGGATGAAATACATCCATTTTTGTGCCCACTGTAATATTTGTTTATCTGTGTCCTCCCTCCCTTTCCTACAAAGTCAAAGCCTGATGCCGGATACTGTATGTATTTATAGTAAACTTTTCTAGTTATAGTTCAAAAAAGGACTTAAACCTTTGGAAATGTGAATATTCAAAAAAGAGGGAATTTTGACATTACATAATGTAAAGGAACACTTATAAATACTTAAGAACATACAGTACTAATGACAGATCATTAGCATTATTAGGCTTCTCATCCACCTATGTTAGGATTACAGTGAGCCCTCGGGAGAGGGGATAAACCAAAGGTATTAAATTGGGTTTAGGTATTAGATCTGTCAATTTTATATTCAGGTTTCCTCCAAACGGTTTGGTGCATACTTCTTTATTGGTGTGTATCTTTCCCAGAACTTATAATATAATAATTTCTGTGACAAACCTTAACATTTTGATAGAAACTCTAATATCTAAGCTTTCAAATAAAATAATGTGACAAAAAAAAATTTAATCAGCTATATTAAACAACTTCCTTCGACCTGCATTTCTGGCATGTATGGTAAAAAAGGCAGCAGTCTGCCCCTGCAGTAGGATGCCTCACGGGTTAATGGGTAAGAGACAAAAGAGTAATCCCTGAAGCTAAAGTGACTGTTTAAAAGACAGAAATTTTATTTAGTTTCTGAGAAAAAAAAAATCAGGAAAAAATGCAAAAAAAGTAACAGTTACTAATCGGCTAATATTTGAGTTAGATGTGATGAAGTAGAGACACATTTAGAAATTGCCCTGCCTGGAGTTTTAGAACAAAGATTTCTTAGTTTTAAAATCAGTGCTAATTTGAAAGAGCTTCTTACATGTTATGCAATACTTTATATTTATTGATTATAAAAATATGACTGTGTGCTTTCCCCCACTTGCTCTGCAGTTAAACCTCACCCTCCAGCTGATGTGGTGGCAGTGACCCAGAGCAAGGGGATCCTGCATGTTTCCTGGACGCCTCCCCCTCTGCCTGTTGACGGCCTGCAGTGTCAGTTTCGCTACCATTCCCTCAGTGTGATAGAGTGGAAGGTTAGTTTTTCTCACTCTTTGCCATGAAAAGCTTTACCAAAATTTGAAAAGATGTTGGTGTTTTAATGTGTTGCTTTTATTTAATTTATTTATATTATTTTTCTAAATTATACATTTGGCTAGAAATAGCAAGTGGGGGGAATCATTTGTCACTACTTTTTTTTTTACTGTGGAAACTGAAATTGAAGTTATCTAGCAAGTGCATTTGAAGAATAAAAACTGAACAAAAATTGATTAAATAAGGCCAACATTTTTTAAATGACTCAACATAATGCATTGGTATTTCATTAGATGTCTGTTTCCAGTTAAAGTGGGTGCAATTTTTCCTGGAAATTGGAGGCTTGCCATCAATTGTTACTCCTTCCTGTTTTGAACTCATTTCCTTTCAAACATTTGGGAACCTAAAAGAGTGTGTACAAATGCTGTGTTTTGTTTGACCTGCTGTTAGTCTGCAGGCTTACTGCCAGTAAAAAATGTTAGGGATCTTTGTGGTATGTATAAAACATGGAAAATCAGATTTTAATTTTTAACTATTTGTGATACTATTCTAATAAAATAACTACTTTCAATATAGATAAGTATAGTGACTACTGAATTGGTCTATTCAGCTTGATCTGACAAAATGCATCTACCTCTATCTATCTGTGCAGTTTGAGAAGTCTGTCCATGTTTCCTGGGCGGAGGTGGAGATACCAGACATGTGCCAGGTCTATGAGATTCAAGTACGCTGCCTGCCCAAAAATGGGTTTGGATACTGGAGTGAATGGAGTGAGCCTGTCCAATCCACCATTAAAAACAGCAGAGGTAAACATGCTTCCCCGCTCAAATGAACCCTACATAAAACCTAGCATTTTAATATGGCAACAAATACAGATTAACAGGTTTGAAATCAAGTGCGTCACTTTACTTTAAAAACTAGGGAATGCTTTTGATTTCAATTAACCAGCATGAACAAACTAATCCAAAGGGGAATAAAAACTAGAGATACATCAATCAGAAATTTTGATAATTGGTTTGTTAGTGTCTAACCAGTAAACTCTGTTTTTTTGGGGGATAAATATAAAATGAAACTGTATTGTTTTAATAAACAGCTCAAAGCAGTGTCTCCTAAAAAAAAATAAAAATACAGTAAAATTCTCCTAGTTTATAGGATTGAGGTGTTTAAAAGGAAATGCAGCAAATGCTATTTACACTTGTACAAGGCTCATTATAGCAAAACAACTTGTTTTGTTCTTTGATTTTTTGCAGAAGTGAAAATATAGCAATGTGGCACAAAATATTTTTTTAGTCAAAATCAGTAATAGCTGTGGTCTGCTGATATTTAGGCTATATTCACACTGCAGCCTGAAGTGACCCAAATCAGATTTTTTTGCTCATATGCGACCTGGATCTGATCTTTTCATGGCTGTCTGAACAACACAGATCCGATTTTTTCCAATGCAACCCAGGCCACTTGGCTATGTGGTCCTGAATCCGATACAAATCTGATCTTTTCAAATGCGACCTTATTAATGGTCGGACCTGGCCGCCATTAATACCCGAACAAACGTCACTATTATGCGTCTTGCTACGCAGAAGCGGCAAGAAAAACAACAACCATGGCAGATGATGATGCGGAAAGCAGTATTTATGTTTAATCATATTGAAAAGATTGAGTTTTTATGGTTGGAAAAGACCGCTAGATGCGCGCCGGTACTACCATCCATTAGCCTGGGTGCCATTCCGAACTTAGTCCCGCCCACAAGGTTTGAGGTCGGGAAGTTCGGTCTGGCTCTGCTCCATAGTAGCGCGAGTATTATCGCCCACTGTCAGGCGATCCAATCAAATTGTCAGGGCGGGCTTTATACGATGATGGACAGATGATCAACAGTAACGTAATCAACCATGTGACCAAAGCGCGCTTGGGTGACAACAACAATGGCCGCCGGAGAGTTGAGGTGAGTAGATTCTGCTATTAGGTCTGTTCTAGAAGATATCGACAGCAAATTAATTTTAAAAGAGGAACAGAGAAACGCGATCAAGGCCCATCTTCCTATTCTAGGCGTGCAACTGCACGCTTTGATTTTTGTTGACAACAACTATGCATCGCTTAACATACGTCACGCACTCCGTTGCTCTTATTGGTTGTAGGTCTATCCAATTGAGTGCAGAGTCATTTTTTTTCCTGGTTCATTCGAAACACGCCCCATAATCACAGCTCTATGGAGCAGCATCAGACTCATTCTGACTAGAATTGAGTAGGACTACGTCAGGCTAACCATCCATGTTTACTTCCGGAAAAAAAGAGCATGCTGGCCTGTGACTTCATTGAGTCCTCTACAGCGCATGCGGGACACTTGCATTGTATGACTGCAGTTCACACAGGAGATCACATACAAGTCGCATATATTTGGGAATATGAATGGCAACGTAAAAAAAATCTGATATCGCAAAAAAATATTGGAATTGAGCATCAAGGCCTGCAGTGTGAACGTAGCCTTAGTGTCAGGTTGAGTGGAGGTTTCAAGAAGACCCAAATGCAGCAACAGAAGCAGAGGTGGTTTCTTGTAGATTTAATAACAACACGGGGCAACTGAAGCAAAAATCCAAAGAACAACAAAATACATAAAACCAAAAACCAGAAAAAGACATGAGGGGCAAACAAAAAGGAGGAACCAGCAAACAGTAACTTAAGAGGAGGAATATAAATGGGAGACTCAACAAAGACTTGGCTAATCAGCAGACAAAGAACAGGTGTGGATGGAAGCATTTAAAAGGGAGTTAGGGGAAGGAGACTGACACAAGAGGGCAACAGAGGAAAACAAGAAATGCATAAGAACTCAAATTCAACCAAACACAACTAGAATAACACAAAATGGAAATAAAACCAATGAAAACTCAAAAAGAAAACTTTAACAGAACCCAAACCATGAAATTTAGAAGGATCCAACTAAGGTTGGCCAATATAGCTTTAAAATCTAATCTCCAATTTTATCCCACCAAATTACATTTTTATTTTTTTAAGTAAAAATGAAAAATAAAATGTATTATTGGTTAATTTCTCAGTGCATTTCCTGTATGTCATGTGTCTTTTCTCCAGCTCCTGAACGTGGGCCTGATTTCTGGAGAATAATTGAAGAGGATCCAGACACAAACAAGTCTAACGTCACTCTGCTTTTCGAGGTAAACGGAGCATATAGAAAGGGCTGGGATGATAATTCAGCCTAAAAGATATGTATCACAATACTGGGTTCAAAAAGTTGACACCACAAGATTTTTTCCTGTGTTTTTAGGAAATTAAGAGTTTTTTTCTTCACAAAATTAAGAAAACTTTTCCTGAATGACAAAAGTTTTTTGAAGAATAAAATAATATAGTGTCCACTAAAGTTCTTTTTTGTCTTTTTCGTGTGGCGGGAAAGCAGTATTGTTTACATGCATATTCATGATTGGATTGAAATATATCCAGATTTGAAAAAAATACAAAACTGTCGGAATACAACGACACATGGGACTAAAAATGTGTCATATAAACATTCCAACTGCTCTGATAAAAAATAGCCAGATGGATAAGATACTCGAGGTGGAAATATGTCAATCCGATGCAAAGTGCACAGGCATGCTTAGTTCAGCTTGTGGCATTCGAAACAATGTGATCCTGTTCAATGTTTACATTCTTGCCAATTCTGATTGTGAATCCACATTAACCAGCCCTTTCATTCGGATTACAATTTCCTTCTGATTCTTCCAAACCTCATCAGAATATTCTTACTGACATGTTTACATGGTACATCATTAGTCCATTTGTCTGATTATTCTTGTTATTTATGTCCATGTAAATGTAGCTAATGATCTAACCCGTTTTTTTTTTGTTTTTTTCACAAATAGAGAAAAGGCTTAATTTTTACACATGTTGGCGAGCCGTTAACGATATTAAGGTGCTGCGTTAACACCAGACTCTTACCGGGCCATAAACAAAATATCACCGCTAATCTATTTTTAAAGTCTGGTTGGTAGCTGGGTCTGTACTAGGTAGCACACACACATTATTCTTATCGTATTTTATTCCTACCCTTATCTTATTTTATTCTTATCCTTATCTTATTTTATTCTATTATCTTATTTATACTTCTCTCTTTTTTTTTTCTCTCTTCTGTAAACGGTTGCACTCCAAGAAAACAATTTCCGGCAAGGGATTAAGTAATTCTGATTCTGAGTCATGAAGCCCTTTGGCAGAATTAATTAATAATCCTTCACTAAAGGACATGAATCATTGTCATGTTCTTGTTATATACCTGTAAAAAATCCATAAAAAAAAAAATGTATCTATGCCCACCACAAGTTTGAAGTAATCTATGTTTGATGTAGGATCATCCACAGAGTTTCTGCTACATGTAATTGATCAAGAGACACCTGACAGCAAAATAAAGACTAGCACACCTTCTGAACAAATGAAACTATAAAAAGGAATTTCATTTAAATAGTACCGAAATGTTAAAAAAATTTAAAATGTGTGTTATAGCATACTTTATATTTGGACAATTATTCTAATCATAGTCAGATTTTAAATTAATTAAAATATCATGAACTGTTCAAATTTTCTTTGCTTCAAAAAAACCAACACGGCTGTACGAGTTTTGCTGTGAAACTGACAAGTATATGAAGCTAAACGATGACCAGAGTACGCCACACTGTTCTCAGTAGTGAAGGAAAACTAGAGATGACAGTCCAGCATTACCACAGTAGCAACTTTTTAGTTACTATATTTGGGGACTTTTCAGGAAGTTAGGGACACATCTATTGACTTGTGTTTTGGCAAATTTAGCAACTTCACTTGAAAGTGGCAATCAGCTTATTATAGCGGTCTCATCACAGCACCTAGAGCTGCAGTGAGTCTCTCCCTGCTTCCCTAATCGCTGTCTCACAGACAGCTGCATGCAGTCTGGATTCCTCCCTGGGTTACAAAGTTGAATATAAATATAATATTTTAATCATGTCTATTCTCTCTGAAAGTGTTGCACTAAAATATATGCAGGATTACCACACTTCTTAATACACTTATTTACTTCGTAAAGTGTGTGCCTCTGATAACTGTCCTGATAAAATCAGAAATATGAAGTGGGGATTTTGGCAGTTAATAAAAATTCTTACATTACCTCATGAATTAAGGTTAACATATGATGAATTTCAGCAAGAAATTAAGGACAGTTGTGTTAATTATGCATTTGTTTCAGATACACATGACCCACCTTAGTCCACTAACACAGTAAAAAAAAAAATCCTAGAGGAAACACTGATCCAGTTTTTTTTAGAATGGTTCAGGTGGGATCCTAACCAGATGAGAAAATATTGATAGAAGGGACTTTCTCGTGCTAGCCCCTTTAAAGAAGTCATGCTGGAACAGGTTGCTTTTATTTTGCAAGTTCAATTTGGTACGCATACTCGAAAGGGTGTCTGGGCTGAACTCACTGGAACGTCCACTCCCTGAAAAGATGTCTTAGTTTTTTTTTTATCTCAGCTTTGAACAACCTTTCTCAATAGAATTATGGAATTCAAATTCACTGAAAATTACCCCTAAACCCTTCCCAGATTAATAGGCAATGTAGCCTTCCTCCTTCCATTTTGTGTTAACACACATCTACAGGTTCCAGGCTAGCAAATGCCCAAATTCTTGCTTGTAATCAAATAGGATTTTCAGCAATCCACTACTTTTCAAATCTGATGGAGGCTGTAAGAATGCACTTATTCCACCCATTGGTTGTATAGATTGCCACAGAATATATTTTTTTAACCATCTTGTTACTTTTTGTTATGAAGTAGCTACTAATGAATGATAATACTGCTACAGAATAACAGTCAATTACAGAAAAGAAGTTTTCGGACCTCTAACATAAGAGGCACTAATTAAAAACAATAAATAGCATGTAATGGTCACCGTAACAGTAAATCTTTTTTTATGTTTTGCAGACTTTCCAACCAAATTGGGATTCCTACTGTGTGGATGGATTTATTGTCCAGCACCAGGCCTCGCATGGATCTAAACAGAGGAGGCGGATTGATATAATGTCCTCCTACAGCTTTGAGTGGAATCACGAGCTCCATATTGTGACTGTGGAAGCCTACAACAGTCTGGGGAGCTCCGTTAACAACGTCAACATGACGCTGGAGTATCAGCCTAAACGTAAGAGAGAAGAGACTAAAACGACATTTCAGCAATCCCTTAGCGATAATAATATACTTAGTGCACAACAATAATAGGCCTTGATGTTGAGATGTAGACTTGATCCAGAAGAATTGTTTAGTCATTGTTTCACTGCAAATACTGGAGCAATCACAAATCTAATGTTTGTTTGATTGAGATTACATCACATGATTATGTGAAATACATTTTAATTATGTACATAGTTGTTAGTCTTAGTTTTCTACTACAGTACAACATGAATAATTTGTAAGAATTTTTAAGATCCTGATCAGTGTTTGATGAGATTATGCTTTGATAGAAAGCAGCTGCTGATAAACAGCTGCATACAAACAGCTCTAATACTAAAATACAATGTGTCGATGAGTTATTTATGAATATGGATTTAAAATTTAAAAAATTCGACTTCAGAAATATGTAATATCATTTCTTAAATAATCTATATGATGAGATGATCGTATGATATTGTTCTACTCAAGATAGCAAATCAGAAAATATAACATTTTATCTGGAGCATAGCATGGATATTCTTCAGAAACGTCTGAATCTCCATAATTACCATTCTAGCTTGTGAAAAATCTTAAAAGAAATTCTGTTAGATTAAACATAATTTAATCTGTATGAGAGGTAAACTTTCTTTGAATGAGTTGCATTTAAAAATAAAGACTAAACATAATCTGTCAGTCTTCATATGACCCACAAATCTGATAAGAGAAAACAATGTGTGGAGTTGCCATTAATGACAGTTGGAGCTAACAGCCAAGAGCTGACAAAGGTAGATATTCATTGGGAAGAAACATATTCTGTGGATTTAATCTGTGGGATATAGATTTAGCGTTAGACTTAGACAGTACTTTATTGATCCCTTGGGAAGACTCCCTCCGGAAATTAAGGTTACCAGCAGCTTACAGGGCAACAAAGCATTAAGTTAAATTAAGTTAAAATTAAGCAAAAAGCTCTGAATTTGTCCATGTAATGACCAATAATGATTTTTTTTTATTTGTGTGAGAAATCAGTCTGTTTTTTCTTACTTCCTGATTATATTTGTTTTACATCAAAAATACAACACCAGGAAAATGTGCAGAAAACAGGCATCCTTCTAAGCATTAGAATATTAGCCTGTGCTGTCCCCTACATTGCCCTAATTGTTGCCTTTCAGCATTAGTAATGCCTGCACTCTGGGTAATGCATCACTAAGGTGAAGCTTGACCGTGCATTTTAATAACAGTTTCCCATGTGTTGGTTATCTTCATGTTTACGAAAATAGAAGCTGGCAGCATAGAAATTATTTTCTTTTCCTTGAAATGGACAGTCTAATAATGATTCACTGAACAGTTAGAAATGTCCCCATTAGCAATAAGTCCCCAAGAATACGTAATTTGTTTTGCCTGTTTCTTGTTTGTTGAATCAGCCAATTAGACTTCCTAATTGTGATCTCAATGTGGTCTTCATTTGGTTAAACCAAGTAAATTAAATGAACTCATAAAGTACCTTTTGTGCACCAGGGTGACACAAAGTGTTTAACATAAGATGAAAAAAAAAAGAGGTGTTTAAAAACAGCAAACATCAATAGAAATCAGGAAAAATGTCAGGAAGAGTTTTTATATAGTCTATGTAAATATCAGTGTTCAAATGTATTCTGGAACATGGCGTAGTATGACTAATACTTTTTGACTTATACTATGGCTAGTACAGGGGTCGGCAACCCAAACTGCTCAAAGAGAAATATTGGACCAAAAAAACAAAAAATAAATCCGTCTAGAGCCGCAAAAATGTAAAAGTCTTATA